TAGCATCGTCCTTGTACGCAGTTTTTAACATTTCAAGAGTTTCTGTTCGACTTTTCCCGTGCAAAAAGCAGAATTTCACCACCGCACGCTGTTCACGAAAATCAACCATTGCAAAAACGACGATCACACAAAACAGTTGTCACTCTAAACTCTGCCGAAACTAGTCCTTACCTTCTGAAGCAACGGTAGTCGGCTTATCGACTCAGGAATGTTAGCTCTATGCGCTCATAGCGGCAAAACGTGGTACTACAAAAGCTCTGGCCACAAAAAAAATTAGTTCGGTTTCTTTTGGGTATCCCATCGTATCTTTGCCTAGCATGTTACATGCTTAGTGCATTTTTTGTCCTTGTATGGCGTTATATCCTACATTACTGTAAGGGATTATAGGATGAACAGATGAAATGAATGTGCAATCAGAACATTCTCATCCAAATTTCTTAAAATAAAGCCAAAATTTGGACACAATGAAAGACCAAACAGGTGCCTGAAGAATCAAATTCACTCTTAGGACTCTGATCATTTAAATACAAAGACTACATGGAATGTGAGCTACACAGACACTACACAGACACACTTTAATGCCTGTGTGCTTGCTCTGTGTTATTTTACATGGGAAGCGTAATAGAAGCAATGTCCATTTTCATTGCAAGGCAGGTTCATAAAATAGCGATTGTTTTCACAGTCTCAAGTGTGCTGTTTCATAGTTATTACAGGTGATGAAAGGCATGACTCCAATATCAGAGAACATAGAAGTATTGCAATATAGCCCTGTGTTTTGCATATTAAATGGATTTCACATCATATAATTTGATTCATTTCTGAAATATGTCCACATTTATAGCTGTAATTTTAAAAATGATGCTGAATATACATGTTATGTGCTGACAGTATATATAATCCAAAACATGAACCAGCAGGAAAATTATGAAGTAAAATTTAGTACCAAAAGCATAAAATGTTGCTTAAAAATTTTGTTGAACAGTAACCAGCCAGGAAATTTGGGTTTCAGAAGATGAACTTCATTGTATGCTTTGCATGAATGAAATATTCCATTAGATTAATGAAGATACAAGAGTAAGGAACACTAAATAAATTTTCTTTGTGCTTTGTTTGCAATTTAGCTAATATGAATAAGATTTATTACTTTAGGTGTGGTGATATAAGCCATGAAGATAGGAGAGAATTTGTGATTATTCCACCAATCATTGCATCCACCTAACTGTAATTTAGAATTTAAATATGGGTAACTGAAAATCTAATTTGAAATACTCCCAACATATATAAGCTTGTGCACAACAAATCTACAGTTACCCACAATAGTGTGTCAAAACATATAAGGAATTTGGACATGTTCTACATTGTTGCCTGTATCAGAGCAAGTACACATGTCTGTAGTCCAGAAGTGTTGTGATCAGAATGGTGGACCCATACTAAAAATGAATAAAGATAGGATGGAACAGAGTAGATGACAACTCAAAATATTTTGCTCACAGTGTGAAGTCTTGAATGGGAACTTGATATGTATTGGGAAATAGCTTGGAAGAAGTTCTGATTTCAGGGGAAACATATGGTGTTTGTTTTGTGCCTGGGTCCTTACTATAGTATATGTTCAGTATTTAACTCTTGTGATTTTCTCTTGTACAAGTTATTAGATGAAAAATGAAGAGAAAAGAAATGAAGGTTAAATTACAGTGCTTATCCCAGATTAATATAATACTCATTCCAGATGCTGCTAGAGATGAATTATAGCGTTTAATGTATTACTTGATATCATTCTTCATGTATCTGTAACAAAAGTAGTGACGATCTTTAAATTTCTATCAGTTACAATATACGTATATTACCTTGTCATTATCATTCATTGACTTTTCCACCAGAGTGAAGTTTCTGTGACAAAGTCTTCTGTATTTTTCACTGTCCCCCTACAAGCGTTTCTCTGGTGTCCTCATCCATCCTTTCCCTACCCTATTTTTTATCTTTCATCACTTCTTCATCATACTTGTCCTTGTCATACTTGTCATACTTGTCTGACATCTTCATTTTTATGCTGTCAGGGGATTCTTATTATGGTGTTATGTGATACATGTTTATATCGTTTTAACCTTGATTTGAGCATTTTGTTTGGATTATCAAACTCAAACTTGGCATCCTTGTACTGGAAATATGCCTCCTGGTATACTGTCAGGGTTACTTGAAAGGCATGAAAAGATACTTAGTTGGCTTTAGTGAAGTTACAATAGGCTCAGCAAGCGAAGGGTTCATAACAAACTGCTTTCTAGAATATGCAAAATATTGGAATTAATTTCACTTTATGGGTAAAGCAGAGGCTTCAGAAGAGCACATGTTCAGTTTTTATGGTGAGAGCTGAGTGATGATCTTTATGCATTAACTACCAAAAGGACTCAGAAAAATTTATTATAACACTTAGTGGAGAGCAGGATGGTTGTCGCTATAGGTTCACTGTGGTGGGTACAATGAATCCCATACCCGTGAATTCCAGTATTCCATTTTTGTGCTGCTGATGTTAGAGACTCATACTAGTATATTCCTCCTTGTTTTTAGTGCCTCTCTTAAGTCAGTTCTACTTCTCTGAGTGGTTGTGAATTACAATGTTTGTAATTACATTCATGTACAAACAGGCCTAAATGCATTTGTCCTTTGAAAGTAGAAAGGAAGGAAAATAGAAAAAAAAAAGTAAGCTGTCCCTGTAACAGGATGTGGAAGCCTTATGTAAATCAAATTGGTGTGCATTTCAAGAAATTTGTCACCCAAAAATGAATTTTTATTGCAAGTATTTGCCTTAAAAATTCCAAGAAAGGTGCTCCAGTGCTTAATAGTAGTCATAAAATTGTACTATAAATGGCAAAAGTCCATGACAAGACTGTGTTACCCATAACTGCTTCCTGGGCACTCCACTGCAATAAAGCACTACTGTACGCCAGCGAATTGGCTTCTCGCATTGTAAAGAGTTTGTAGTTACACTGCACCACCCAGAATTTATCAACGAGTGACAGTGTATATTACCATTCTCTTTTTTGTTGAGTTGACATACTCATGTACGCCTGCATTACTAGATTTCACTAGCATGGTAAAATTGTTATTACTGATGTGGAGTATTCAATTGTAATAAGGTCTAAAACTGAAACCAACAGAAGTTTTCTTTCTTCCGGTGTTGTTACTAGCCTCCATGAAGTTTCCATATGTATAACTGGTGGTAGCAACCCACAAAGACTTCAGAGGCATTCACATTTCACCTCACTATCTTTATGTCACACAGAGCTTGTCTTTAACACTCAGGGCACAAAAGAAGAGTTGAACACAGGACCAGCATGGAACAAGTTGTGCACAAAATATCCACAAATAAGAAGGAAAATGCAGTCATTAACAAGGTCCACTGGATAACCTTCTGACTTTGTGTTGTTCTTTGAATTCACTGTTTGCATAATATAAATAAACTGACACAGGAAATACTGCTGAGGAGATCAGGCTCGTGTGAAGGTGGGAGTCAGCTTCAAGTAGAATTTATAATGTATGAGATCCAGTCCACTGTATGTGCCACCCTGTGGTATATACCAGGCTGGCCACGCTGTGCACAGGAGTACCCAGCTGACACTATTCCGATAAGGTACCATCTTCCTGCTTTCTCCATCATGAGTGGACCACCTGAGTCCCCCTGTGGACAGACACATCAATTTATTTTCATCAGATCTAGTTATGGAAAATATTTAAATTACACTGTCTAGCACATAACATAAACTTTTTTTTCTGTGCACCCACTCTGTTTATTGTGAAAGGGAGGTTGGTAGGTTGGTTATTTCCCAACAGTGCAGTCAGTGTATGGAATATATGGTGTTAGATGAGAGGATGATTTGTGAATTGGAAAGGATTTGTAAAGACAGTGGTTGCTCAAGTGTCTGAATAAAATCAAGATAAATCTCAGCATAGCTGGTATCGTGGCCTATATTCAAAATGAGAACCTCCCAAATATATGTCTACAACTTTACCGCTAAACCAACTTCTTCTGTGGGAGACAGATCAAACAACATCTTTTAGTAAGAATGCTGTGCATAGTACATCAGTATATGTAGGTTGTACAGTAGGTACGACTATATAGATTTCAGAAAACTTCAAATACTGAAAATAATATTAAAGAGATGAATATATCTTGAAGAAGGAGGCAAAGTATGCGGCTGAAATGCCAGAAAATCTTTCCCATTAGTACTCAGCATCAGAACACAGCAAGAAAACACATAAAAATTGTGCATGGACTGTGGTGTAAAACTGAAATTGTACATTTTTATGACAGAATTTATTTAGAAATGCAAAGAAGTGTTGTGAAGAGGATAAATGTTGTGACTTTCCAGAATCAGATCACTGTTAGAGACAGTAGATTAGAACAGAGTTTGCCACACTTGTTGTCAGACTATAAACATGCTGAAGGGAGAAAGAAATAAGGAATGTGATGCCTTACCTGGCAGGAATCCTTACCGCCTCCCCTGTATCCTGCACACATCATCTCATCATAAATGATAACATTGATACCATTGGACTTGTGCCAGCGTTCACAGAGGCGGTTGTCTATCACTGGCACATCCACAGCCTGCAGAGTCTTAGGTCGAAGTCGGGAACCTGAAGGCAATCGACACAGTGTAAATTGATATGGAGTATCCAAAGTGCCATTCCACATCCCCTTCTCCTTACTTGGTGTGATTTCTGATTCTCAGAACTAGTTAATCAGTGGTTGCTGGAATACCAATTTCATCTTAATGCAGATCTTCTCCAGGGACACTTAATAACAGCACAACGGAAAAATTGAGGCTTTATTGATAAGATCAACCATAATAGAAAGGTCAAATTATGAATATAAAAGGAAATTTTTGCATTTATTCATATAAACGCTCAAGTGTATTAATGGACGGACAAAAAGCAGCTGATAATAATAATAAGATATTATTTTTGATATACCTATAGCATATATAGTTGTACAGTGATGAGAAAATGGTAGATGTACCAGTAGAAGTATAAAAAGGTAAAGCTATCCCTGTAACAGGCTGTGGACGCCCATGGGGCTGTGAGATGTTGAGGCTCCCACATTTTCTGGACAGCTGGCTCAAATTGGCAGTAAAGTTGTCAGCTTTACATGCCAGCTGCCCTCTATCCCCCAGGAAGATTCCTGGTACTCATTTCTGTTAGAGGCTGAGTCGACTCCAGGGCCATAGCACGGCTGAAAGGATTAGGTCAATTTGAAAATCCAGTAGCCTCATGGGGAATCAAACCCATGGCCTTCTGGCTTGTAACATAGTGCCTCAATCAACTATGCTGCTGCGAGATCCCTAAATAGAAGTATAACTGAATTAATACTGAATCAGTTTTCCTGTGTGGTAACATATATTAATGTCATGTTGCTTTTTCAGGCTACATTTATATCACTGCTTTGCACTGCAATGCCATTTATTAATGCTCATTATTGACAAAAATCCCAGATCAGAAAGCAAAAGAAGGAAATTCTGTGGATTCAAGCTCAAGGAGTGATGACTTGTTTGATAACATACCTGCCTGCAGAGCTCCCCAGCCAGCTGCCCATCCATACTGCCCTAGGAAATCTTCACCCTTCTCAGGTAGGCAGATGGGTGCAATGTGTGGCATGTACTGCACGGGCCTATCCAGGCGTAGCACAGCCACATCAAAACGGTCTGCTTGGGGTGTGAACTTGAAATATGGGTGTACTCGAATCTCACGAACCCCAAACGTATATGCTGGCAATGGCTCTACTGCAGAATTGATGACATAGTCACCCAGTGTGACCTGAACTTGTCTTGCTGATGCCCTGTAGTTGAACAGTACATAGGTAACATGCAGCTTAGATAAATTCAAGAGGCAAAAATTACCAGGTGTCACAGTGAAAGGTATGTAATTCTTTATTCTTGAATTCTACAAACCTGAATCTGATAAGGAAACAGTTCCTCCTGTTTAAAGATTATTCTTTCAGCAAGAGGGAGAAAAAACTTATTCTCACTGAGCAGAGAGTGCAGCAGAAAAGCTCTGAACCATTAATCTGAGTGCACCTAGTTTCAATTTCAGTCATGCTACTAATGATCCTGTCTGCGGTTTTTCTTGGGTGTCCTTATCCCTTTGGGCAGACATAAGGAGTGTGTCCTGAAATATTCGATGGGCATCTTCATCCATATCCTTATCAACTCACCATTCATGATCACCCCCCCATTTCATTTGATACTGTGTAATCATGGGGCATGCAGTAGTGTAATTGGTTGAGGCACTAAGCTACAAGCCAGAAGGTGGCAGGATCGAATCCCAATGAGGTCATTGGATATTTTTCAATTACCTGATTCTTCCAACCGCACTATGTCCCTGGGGTTGCAGGATCGAATCCCAATGAGGTCATTGGATGTTTTTCAATTACCTGATTCTTCCAACCGCACTATGTCCCTGGGGTTGATTCAGCCTCTAAGAGAAATGGGTACCAGGAATATTTTTGGAATGTTCTTGGGGGTAAAGGGCAGTTGGCACTTGAAGCTGACACACTCACCACCATCTATGAGCCGATGGTCTAGAAAATGTGGGAACCTCAACATATCACAACCCTATGGGCCTCCACTACCTGTTACAGGAATACCTTTACTTTACTTTTTTTACTGTGTAATCATAGTAATGGGACCACTTAAGTAGCTTAGAAATACGCATAGGTAAGAATACTGTACTAGCTCTGATCAAAAAAAAAAAAAAGAAAAGGGCACAGGGTAGTGTAGTTGTTTGTGGCACTATGCTACAAGACGGTAGGCCATGGGTTAGATTCCCGATGAGGGCTTTGGATTTTTCAATTGACCTAATCCTTTCAGCCACACTGTGGCCCTTGAGTCAACTGAGTACCAGGAATCTTTCTGGGGGTATATTGTGGCAGGTGTGTGAGGCAGAAAACCTCACCACCATCTGTGTGCCAGTTGTCTGGAAAATTGGGAGCCTCAATCTCTCTCAACCCTATGGGCCTCCACGGTCTGTTACAGGGAGAGCTTTACCTTTTTACCTTATAAAAATAATGTGTAAGTTATGTACCTGATTCAACTTCATCAGAATCTGTTTGAATGGCAGGGGTTGCTAGACTTTCTTAATCATAGCAATAGATAATCAGATTCAACAAAAGCTGGGTATGCCTATGTTTACATCTGTGTAGAATTTCTTGAAACAAGTTATCATTACAGGGGTCTGAATTTCTGGCAGAGGTGTTCCAGCCATAACAAAGCCTGGATGTTTTCACATTAGAACTGTCCTGTCAAAATCAATGGATGGGCTAATTATGAATAGTTTCAGCAAGTGAATACTGCAGAAAGTATTACCTTGCAACACAATGTCCAGCTGTGACAACATGGTAACGGTTGACAAGAGATCCGCCACATCGACTGGACCCAATTCTGATGTATGCCTAAGGAAAGAATTTGAGAGTGACAAAGTTATAATACATGTGAGATAAAGACAGGTCATGTAAAGTGGTTGTAACTTACTTGCCACGGGAAGCTGCCAAATCCAGCCTCATCACCGCCAACAACACGGCGCTGGGCACCCAAGCCGGGGCCTAATTTTCCAATAGAAACTCCACATCCTGCAATTTCAAAATGCAATGTGTAATATTTCATAGTAAAAGAACGCACAAAAAGTATGTACAGCTCATTGAAACTACTAAGTAAGCACCTATTTAGTGAGCTTGTAAGACGGGAGTATGACATAGAGGAAAGTTATACCAGAAGAAATGTAACAGAGTGGAGTCATTGAGTCAGCTCCACAAATTAACATACCAGCGACAGGAGAAGGGTGAGCATAGTCTACATGTAGCTACAGAAGTTAGTCATTGTCATCATGTTATGTACATTTGCTTTTACGTGCAGAGTTGGCCTGCAATTAACATCAGACCCTTGGGAAGTTCTGTTGTCAGTGCCAGGTATTTACAGTATTGACAGTCTGTTTTAATATGTACAATGTCACAGCACAGTCAGGCTCCTTTATTCCTCCTCGGTATGTATACATAGGTCTCTGTGAGCAGTTATTGTCATCTTTGAATTTTTGTTATCCATTTGTTTCAAATAATCTAGAACCCACCCTTGATCTACAGCAGGGGTCTCCAAACTTTTCGAACCGCAGGCCACATTAGGTAATTCAGCACTTTCAATGGGCCAGATAAAATGAGAAATTAATAACTCTCGGTATATGAGTTTCTTTGATAGCACAGAATTTCATAAACTAAATACAAAGTACATGAGAATAAATTATCGTATATTAATGACAACA